TCCGCATGCATGTGGCTGGCCACCTGCCACTGAGCCCCCAACTGGAACAGCTGGACAGGGGCTTCTGGGAGACCTACAGGCGTGGTGAAAGTGGACTGCCTGCGCACCCCGAGGTCCCTGATTGAGCCCAGCCCACCCAGCTGCCCCTGGCCCCACTTCCAACAGAGAATCTACCCTCACCAGATTCCTCTGCAGGAGGTGGACGGGTATGAAGCCCCAGCCAGGGCAGTGGGTGCCCAGACCCCTCCCCAGAGCCAGGCCCCAACTTGCCTTCTTCCAGCCTGCAGACCACACCCCACCCTCCCTGCCCTGGCCCTGGCCCCAGAGCTGCACACACTCACCGTCACTTGCCCTGCCTTACCTCTGTCTTGGTGGGGCTGCCCCTCTCGCTTCTCCTTGCATGAGCCGGAGGGCCCGTGTGGGTTGCACCCCATTCCACATGCCGTTCTGCATATGCCATGCCTGGCTGCAGCTCCTTCGAGGCTGGGCTGGAAGCAGACCTCCACCCTGGCATAGCCGGGTGCATGGGCAGGCATGTGTCAAGGGAGAGGCCAAGTTCCCAGGAGTCTGCGTTCCCAGGAGCCACGTGGGGGTGTGGGGCTCGTTACCCCCAGGGGGTGTCTAGGTAGCAGCAGGTATCGATGATTATCCAAACCCCCAAAGCAGAGGGAGGCCTGACCCTGTGGGCACCAGCCTCATGGCCAGGTGGCAGCCCTCTCTCTTGCCTTGGGTCTTTTTGTTTCTTTATCAAAGCCACTTTAGTGAGAAGCAGGTACCAGGCCTCAGGGTGAAGAGGGGTCCCTTGAGGGAGAGGGGAGCCATGGTGCCTGGGCCAGAGCTGATGGGGAGGAGCCGGCCCAGGCTGAGGGAGGCTGGCAGTGCGGGGAGGCGAGTGTCCACCAGCAGCCTGGCCTCCCGAGGTCATCTCAGTGCCCCATCCCGGGCCTCTCCCAAGGCCCCCTGCCCCTCCTCATGCCCCTCTGTCCTCTGGGTTCTTTCTGTGTAATCTATTTTTTACGAAGAGTTTGTATTATTTTTTCATACGGCTGCAGCAGCAGCTGCTAGGGGCTTGGGGTTTTACTTTTGTGGCGGGCGGGGGTGGGAGGGCCATTTTGTCACTTTGCCTCAGTTGAGCATCTAGGAAGTATTAAAACTGTGAAGCTTTCTCAGTGCACTTTGAACCTGGAAAACAATCGGAACAGGCCCATGGGACCACGACGTAGGGAGGCGGCGCGCACGCCTCCATCCAGGAACCGTCATGTCTAAGGAACCAAACCCAGACGCAGAACAATAAAATAAACTCCGTACTCCCCACCCAGGTCCCGTGTTGTGCTATGTGTCAGGGGACCCCGAGGGAGCAGTTGAGAAAAGGGATGTCGGAGTCTGATAGGACAGGAATGAGGGGGTGGGGGCAGTCAGATATGGAGGACAGGAGGACCTGGCCACATCCTCGGGGGCAGAGCAGAGGCAATAGCCCACCAGGACTTGTAAGGAAGAGTTTGCCAAAGCCAGGTTTGGGGGCCAGATGGTGGCCCAGCTGTAAAATGCCATGTTCTGCAAAGTCAAGTCTCATGGGAAAGTTCCTGGTTCACAAAAGGCCTTGAGCACACCAGGCCCACCTGTGCCCATGATCTGGGGCTGGGTGGGGATTGCAGTGTCGAGACCCTGTTGCGGATTGATCAACCACTCAATGAACTTTAAAATTTTACTTTAAAAAAAAAGCTGGATTTGAGTCAGCAGGTGGTGTGGTGTAGGGGGCTGGATCCCACATGGCTGACTGCAATTTGAGTCCTGGACCCTATGGCTTGAAAAACATCCTGGGTGCACGTGTGTGCACACCCCAAATCCCAGGAGGTGAATAGAGGAGGAGGGATTGCGGCGTGACCATCCCTCGCTTGTGGGTGATACCACACTTTCCTCTTCCTCAGTCTCTCTCCAGTAAGAGCACGCACCCGATGGCAAGAATCTTTTAAAATTTTAAAAATAGGGGCCGGCAGGTGGCTTGGTGGTTAAAGGTGCTGGTCTCCCACATAGCCGACTGCAGTTTGATAAAGTTAAATAAAAATAATTTTTTTTAATTTACAAATAAACTAGAATGGTAGGGGTACATCCTGCGGACTGTATTGCTTTCATACTTAGTGTTTCCTTTCCGAAACGACAGGGTCCTATCAGGAAAGCGGAAGTCACACTATTTCAAATACAGGGCATTTAATGCAGGAATTGTTTAGACAAGTTCTAGAGCCCAGAAGGACAAAAAGTGCACACTGAGGTAACCCCCGCGATGGTTAATTGCAGGAAGCAGCTACTGTGCTGTGGGCTGGGGGGCTAAGGAAATAGGCGGTCAGGTCACTTTAGTTTCCACATGTGTAACGAACACCCCAAAACTCCATGGCTTTAAATAACAATCATTGCTTTCAGATTTTCAAGCATTTGGGACAACAAAAATGGTGGGTGGCTTGGGTTTGGGGTCCCTTTTGAGGCTGCTGTTATACTGCCCAGGGCCTGAAGTCTTTGGGACTGTGACTAGAGCTAGGGTCCATTTCCAAGGACCCCTGTATGTGGTTCTCTTGTGGCTGGCGGATAGGTGCTGGCTGTTCGCAAGAGGCCTTAGCTCACCTGGGCCTCCACGGGGCTACTCGGGCAACCGCAGGAGCAAAGCAGAGTGCACTGCCTCTGTGACCTCATCTCGGGAGTCACAGCGCATCACTCCCATCAGACTGTCCTGGTCACAAGCCAGCCCTGGTTCAGTGTGGGAGGGGACTGCACAAGACCACCAATACCAGGACTGGAAAGGATCATTGGGGTCATTTGGAAACTTGACGAGGAACGTGGATGGAGGAGCCCCCTGGGATCAGTGCCAGGAGTTTTGATGGGTGCTGGGGGAAAGGTTGGGTTGTAAGTCCTTGGTGCTGGGACGGCTAAGAAATGCAGTTGCTGGTGCTAACGGCCTCTTGTGGCTGACACGCACTGGAGAGCAAGAGACGGCCCTTTGTCTTTCTCTTCCAGTCCCCCTCAGCCAGCCCCAATTGGCAGGCAGAATTGCCGGAAGCCTGCTGGCAAAGAAATCTGGGGAATGTAGTTTCTTAGTGGCCCAGCAACAGAGTGGGCCTGGGCTGAGGTACAGTGAGGAACCAGCACGGCCCACCCCCTGGCCACTCAGCCACGCTCCACGCACACCATGTGCCATACTCAGCTTCCACTCAGCTCTGCCTCCCGCTCCCACCTTCCAAGACGCAAGTGGCCTCTGTACACAGACTTGCCGTTCTCTTCCTAAAGGGGGCGATAGCAAAGTCCCACAGCCGTTGTATCTGTCACCCAGTGATGTTCATTCATCACAGTTCCACCTGTTTCAGTTACTATTCTGTAACTGAAAGACGTAAGTGGGGCGGCGGGGGATTTGCAGCTCCATGGCCTTGTGGTTAAGGCAGCCAGGTCCCACACAGCCATGTGGGTTGGACTTCCTCCATGTAGCATCTCATCGCTGTGCCATAGACTAGCCTTGCAGTGACCCTTAATGTCACACAAAATAGACGTACAAGCAAGAAAAACAGAAGTGAAAAGGAACATTACATGATGATAAGAGGACCAATTTACCAAGAAGATAGAACAATCTCAAATGTGTATGTACCTAAAAAATTCTGACCCTCAAAATACATGAGGCAGGGCCAGTAGGTGGCACGGTGGTTAAGGCACTGGATTCCCACATGGCTGACCACAGTTTGAGTTCCGGACCCAGCAACTTGAAAATCAGGCTGGGGACAAATGTGTGTGTGCCCAAAATCCCAAGAAGAGAATGGAGAAAGGATTGTGGCATGGCCAGTCCCCCTAGGGCATGATTTCTCAGAGAGAGACATTTCCCTCTCTGTCTGTCTCTGTCTCTCCAGTGAGTGCACATGCCCTATGGCAAAAACCTAAAAAAAGAAAAAAAAAAAAAAAAAAGAGGCAAGTGTCGAATAAAGGTGAATGAAAGAGTAGGCAAATCAAGATTATAGCGAGAGGGGACCAACAGTTAACGTAATGGCTACGTCGCTGGACTCCCACGTAGTCGACCGCGGTTTGCGTCCCGGACCTGGTGGCTTAAAACTCACGCTGGGCACGTGTGCGTGCGTGCCCAAGATCCTGAGAGGAGAATGGAGGAGAAGGGATTGTGGCGTGGCCATCCCCCCTGGGGGGTGATTTCTCGCTTTCTGTCTCTATGTCTCTGTCTGGCAAGCGCACGCTCCCTATAGCGAAAAAACTCTCCAAAAATAAAAAAAAGTTTTTTTAAAAAGGTTATAGCAAGAGATTTCAGCATTACTCTCAGTAATCAATAGAACGAGTAGCAGGAAAAAACAATAGTGTGGAACATCCCACCAACCAACTGGGTCTAACAAAAATAAAACACTTCACCAACAATAGCAGATCATACATTCCTTCCAGGATCATACAAATCACTCACCAAGGAAGGCCATATCCTGGGCCAGGAAACAAACTATATTTTTAGAGAATTATTTAATTCCATTTGTTAATATTATTTTTTAATTTTACCAGACAGAAAGAGAAAGCAAGCCACCAGGTCTGGGACTTGAACTGCGGTTGGCCATATGAGAATCCAGTGCCTTTAACCATCACGCCACCTGCTGGGCCCCAGGAAACAAACTTTAAACAAATTTAAAATAAATTGGGGCCAAGGTGACTGGATCCTACATGGCCGAACACATGGATCAAGTCCCAGACTTGGTGGCTTGATTATTCAGGGCACGTCTGTGTGCGTGCCCCAAATCCCAAGACAAGAATGGAGAAGGGATTGCATGCGGCCGTGGGTGATTTCTCATTTTCCCTCTCTCTGGTTCTCTTGCAAGCATAGGTGCCTGACAGTAAATAAGTACGTAAATAAAACACATTTTTTTAAATAGGTGATTGAGCTTCCTCGGTCTGGGACTCTCAGCCGCCATCTCTGATCTCAGGATGAGCACAGAATCACAGCTCAGTCATTCAGCATTTCCTATCAACATTCCGCTCATGACCATTTGCCAAGCCAGTCCATCAACCCCTCCTAGGCCCACCTCTTAGTCCTGTGAACGTGAATGAGGTGCAGATTCTACACCCCTCTGAATAATAAATAAAATAGATTTGAAGATTTTTAAAAATAATTACTTAATTTTATTCTTTTTTAAAAAAAAAACTTGATCAGGGAGAGAAAGAGGAAAAATGAAAAAGCAACCCACCAGATCCAAGACTTGAACTGCGGTCAGCCATGTGGGAGTCAAGTGCCTTAACCATCAGGCCCCTAGATTTGAAGTTTTAGCAAATTCTGTGGGAGAGGAAAAGAAGCACATGCCAAAAATCCTTTTCTGGCTTAACAAGTAAATCTTAATTATTTATACCTTTCAAAAAACAGACACCAGAGACCAGTGACACAGCGGTAAAATGCTACACTCAGAGGCTGACCCACGTGGGAAGTTCTGGGTTCATGTCTGGAGACCTCCCTGGGTACACTGGGCTTGTGTATGCCTGTGTGCGAGGCAGGCTGATGCTGGGGTGTGGATTAATGCCAAGACCTTGTCAGTAATGCCCCTTTCTCCCTCCCTTCCTCCCTTCAGTGTGCTCACTCTCAGGAAGGGAGACAGCGAGGGAGAGAGACATTTTTAGTCTCACATCAGACGAAAGCTTCTGTGATGCTTTCAGTTTACTACTTTATCAGAAATAGGTTTATGATATTCAGTGGTGTCTATAGTTCTATATAGGACAACAGCACATATTTTATACTCCCTGTTTTTTTATTCTTGTGGGGTGGTGGGATGCCCCTAATGTCTTCATGGTGTGATCCACCCCCAGACTCTTCCAGACCAAATCACAAGTGTGCCTGTGCCCAGAATATACGGGAAGACGTTAGGACATAACCCAGACCTTCACATGTGGGGTCAGCAGCTCAGAATGTTCCATTACCACCATGCCACCATGGCTGGCCTTTTTTTAAAGAAAAAAAAAAGAATTATTTTATTTGACTTTATTTGTTATTATTATTTTCCAGTTTGATCAGAGAGAGACAGACAAAGAGAGGGAAAGTGAGGAAGTAAGCCGCCAGGTCCAGGACTTGAACCGCAGTCGGCCATGTAGGAGTCCAGTGCCTTTAACTACCACAGCCCCACGGCTGGCCTTTTCTGAAGTTCATTAGTTTCTTTTTTCTTTTCTCTTTGCTAGAGGGCGTGTGCACTGCTGGGGGTGTGGATTGTGGTGTGGCCATCCCATCTGGGTGATGATTTCTCGCTTTCTGTCTCTCTGTCTCCCTGGCAAGCACACACAACCTATAGCAAAAATCTCTTTTTTTTGGAGAGGTTTTTGCTACAGGGCGTGTG